CCCAGCCCGCCCACCTGCCGGCCGCCGAGACGCGTCGGGCTCGCGCTGTGAGGGGCCACCCCCGGGGGCCCCCGCAGCCGCCTGGCTTCCCCGCCCGCGCAGACCTGGGCACCCGCCGAGATCACAGCCCCTCGGCTCCGCCACGTGGAACGGGGGCGCTCGACGTCGGTAGCGCTCCGCGCGGTCTCTGTCCCCGCGTGCCATCTCCCCCTTTCTCGGGTCCCCACCTGTGAGGGGACTTGAGACAGAGTGGCCCTCTCCGCCGAGTGGACCGTGCGGGACGGCTGAGGGTCGGGGTGGCAGGGGCAGGGGCCGGGATGCTCGGGGAGACAGTCGGAGGGAGGGCACGGGTGGCAGCCGCGGCTCCTGGACTCGGGAAAGGAAACAGAAAGTAGTCGCTCGGTTGGGGGGAAGGATGTCTACTTCGCGAGTCCACCCGAGACAAAATGGAAAGTGGGCATGAGCCATAATTTCGCCATCCTGGGAGTGGACCCCCCTTTTGTATGAGTGGACCAGTGAAGGGCGTTTGAAATCGTCCTCTTCAGAGCTGTAGAGAAGGTAGGCAGAAATTCAGGGCGCACCATCTGTTTGGCATTGTGGGGAATCAAGCTAAGTGTAAGATGTGACTGGTGTTTTGAAAGTACTTAACAGTGCTAAAGGAAAGAATGCCAACTTGGGCGTCAGGCCCGGCTGGGTGGCCTTTTCTGCCCTGCCTTGAGAAAGGGTTCGTGACCTTGGGAAAATTCCTTAACCTCTCGGTTCGGTTCTCCAAGTTCAGAAGTGTTGTAAGAAGAATGTATGTTGAGACATCTCCTATGGGCCTGATACGCACTGGAAACTCAGTAAATGTTTGACCTGAGCTGGGTGGCTGGTCATTCTCCGCATAGATTAAATAGCCACTGATGGAAGGTAGGCACCAGTACCACGGCCTACCTGCTGTAAGATAGGTACAGCGGATATTTGATCAGCTTAGAAAGTGTGTGACTTTTCATGGTTTATGTCGTAACAGTGCATGGACTGGCTCTGAACTGGAGAGAACCCCGCAGCCTAAGC